AACTAAAAACAATAGACATCAACGCTAAGTTTCAAAAACACAGACTTAAGGTGTTAAGGTATATAACTATTTTATTTTTTATTAACCAAAAGAATTCATAATGAAAAATTCAATATTTTTAGAATGCATGTGAATGAAGAAATTCAAAATATACACAAAACGTCAATGCAGTTGTACCGCTGACCCTTTACAAATATAGTAAAAATTTGAAATTACATAGAAATTCAAATGTGATAGTAATTGAGTTAAGTTTGAGTGATGCGGAAAAAAACCTTGTCTATAACAACACTGTTTCAAATACAAATTAGGAAATAAAATGTTCTTAATCGCTAAAAGGAATCTGAAGCACACAACGTGAAACACATATGTACACGACTCGCAGGTTCTTAAAAAAAAAATATAAAACAGAAGTCAAAGTTTTATCTATTTTAAGTGTGTTTTTGTTGATCAATCACTGACTTTTGAAATGATGAAGAGAAGCGTGTGGTATGTGGGATCACTCAAATTTGAATCATATTGAGAAGTTGAGGTGTTTTCTTTTCCTGCCAAGGCTAGGTCTCTCCAGTAACTTAGTCGTCCAACGTCTTCACGCTGGTGTCTCGCATTCTTATTTCTGTTAAATAAAAAATCAGTTGGTATGTTATATCAACTTGATTTAAATTTATATCTAAAAATAATACAACACACTCCCAAGAAAATGTTCGTTTTAAATAAATATATCTCTTACATGTACACTTAATCTCGATCTCTATAAAGTCATACCTGGGAACCGAGATTATGATTTATGAAAGTTAGTGGCTGGAAATAAATAAAATGTTCATGATTTTTTAGCCGGGCTCTGCTAAAGAAAGGCCTGGCTATAGGCATCATGATCGACTGTCTTACAATAAATACATGTAGCACAGTAAACAAAAAAAAAAAAAAAACAGCGTCAAAGCAGGCGCTTCCGATAATCAAAGTAGTACCATTGCGAATGGTCATACAAATATTTTTAACATCCCGAATCATTGGATTAATATTTTTGCTTGAGAATTGAACTGAAAGAGAAATTATGTACTTGCTTTATTGGGATATTCGTGGTATAATGATTATGCACATACACTGCTGAATACATATTGTAAGCGAATTATTTTCAACATCGCGGGATATTCTAAATGTTGAAATTGTTGAAGAGTTTTATGCTTCATATCGTTTTCGTCGATGTTATATGTCACTGTTAATATTCTGTTTCGATTTTTAACAAATTGATAGTATAGTGAATTAAGTGGAGTTTAAAGAGTCAACATACGTGAAGTCGCTTGATAGTGTATATGTATCATTTTTTTTACAAGTAGTTGGCGATAAAAATACTGTTTGTTTGAAACTAAAAGAATGTCTATAAAATACACATGTGCATTATTTCACATATTCCTAGTCTGAATTTTTAAATTATGAGGAAAAAAATGCTAATTGAATAGAAAGTATATCGAAAATTTCTTAAAATATAAATCATTAAATTTTAAAATCATTATTAAAATATCTTGGGGTCTACTTATAGTTTTAATTACTGGTATATGAGATATTGTTTTAAATCATAATCATACAAACTCTACCTGTTAAAAATCAATGGCCAAAAGGAAAAAAAAGAATAAATATGTAGGGTTAGTTTTGCATCAGACAATCAACACTAGCAATTAAAGACCGGCTTTCAGTTCTTTTAATACTTTGATTGATAAATGAGTTTTAGAGTTACTGAAATTCAACTAAACTTGAAGTTTTTGCTGACCGGTCATCGTTTAAAGACATCATTTAAAAAATAATGACATCACCATTTAAGTTTACACGTTCTTGATAAATTATTAAATTTTTAATATCAGATTCATTACGTAAAATGAATACTCACGGTTTCCTGCATTTTCGAGCTACCAGCCCTATAATAACCATAATGATAATTATCCCCACAAAAGAAACTGAGGCCCCAACAATCAACTGGGTGTTTCTGACTTGAGCCTGAATCGATTTGTCGTCTGGTATTTCCTTTGTCATTAGAAGTGGTAGTGCCAACACGCCCTTCGGATGTCGTTACAGGTTGGGGGGTTTCTGTACTTATAGTTGACTTGGTTTCAGCGATTGTTGTAGTCTGGAGTGTATCTAGTTTTGCTGTTGACGGAATTGTGCTTGTTTCCGATTTTTTGGTTGATACTGTAGGTGATGGTTGAGCAGTTGATGTTTCTATGTTGGTTGTTGATTTTGTAGTAGATTCCGATATAAATTGTGTATTTACTTCAGTTAAGCTTGGTGGAAAAGACGGTGTTGTTTGCAAGTCTGCTTCAGTTGTTATTACCGTTGTTATTGTCAGTTTACTAGTTATCGTTGTTGTTTCTTTTAGTGTTGTCGATGCTTTGGTTGTTGAAGTTGATGTAAATGTGGGTTTTAATGTTATTGCCTCTGTTACTGATAATCCCGTTGTTGTATCAACATATGTTTTTGATATACTTTCCGTCATCTCTGTAAAATCAGTTGTGTCTATCTCCGGCATATCTGTAGACATTAATGTTGATGATTCCTCAGGTAAGGTGTTGGAAACCAACGATGCTTGCTCAGTTTGTGAAGTGGTCAATGATCCAGTAATTTGAGAAAGTGTTTTTTCTTCTTGCGCAGCAGTTGTGCTAGATGATGTGTAGTTTTCTTCTCTTTCTGTAAAGCTCATCACTGTAGATTCTGTGACGGTATTTAACATCGTTGTAAGCATCCTTTCGCTTGTTGTTTGCCCACAGGCTATATAGAGGAAGAAAATACATACACCATTAGATTGAAATGATTAAAGACTTAAGTTATACTATGATATATCCATCTCTACATAATTCAAAGGGGGGAAATTATAATGTGTGGATATTTAAAAAAAACAAACAAAAGCTTACTTTCATTTTCTGTCCAGTTGAATTGATTACTCGTCGCATTACAGTAAGAGCACTTATTTTTTGAGTTATTCTGCAAGGGCCTAATACATATACTGTCGATGTAACAAAAGTTCTCCTGTAGATAATGCAGAAAACATATGAACATTTAAAGCTTTTAAAAGAATTCAAAGACTGATATACAAACTTTACATGAGAAATTGTTCATAAGGTAATTTTATTTCGGAATAGACAAAGTGTCGGATTAGAAAGTTCATCTGCAAATCCTATATTTAATATACAGTCTACAATATTATATAGAAGAGATATTTTATCAATGTCATGTTTCCCCCCAAATTTATTTCAACTAATGAAAAATAACATTATCGAAATCTTTAATGGGGTTATATACACGTATAACTCAATAAGATTTAAATTTTCAGCAACATTTACGTATACCTTTAATGTAAAATATACATTTCCGGATTCATTATGGTACTCTTGACAGAGGGATTGGTATACGATGAACTCATATGTGTCTGAATATCGTTTTCCGTCATTTGAAATGTTGAACTTGATTTCAGTTGTCCAGATTCCATTCGTGTCAAACGAAAGTGGACAGAAACCTTCAAATAGTGTTCTCTCTTGTAAATTCCTCTCAATCTGTAGCTCTCGTACTTCTGTTTGGTTGATGTTAACCTGAAATATTTTGATTTCAAATAAACAGAAGGTTAAATGACTCAAAGGTTACCGAGTACACCTTAAACACAACAAAAGATTCACAGAAGTAAGAATTCGAGCTGAACACAATTCGTAAAAGGAATTCATTAAATGATAGTTGACCATATTCTGCCCCAGAAAAAAAGACAAAAAGGATAAAAACATCTGGAACTTAATGCATGTATTAATGAATCTTAACGAAGGACTATACTATTTTCTTGCCTGCAAAATCCCTTAATTGTCACTACCACTGTAAAACTAATCTAATATTTTTTTAATCTACTTAATATTATCTCTATGATTTACAAAAATAAATGTTATTCAGTATAAAAGGCAAAACAAAATTATGTATACAATTTCCTGCGCAGCGACTAGAACATATAATGTTGTTCACCTCAATTATATAGTATTTAACTTTTGTAAGTATTAAAAAAAACGTTGCGGATTTTGAATAAAACAATAAATAAACGATTTTACAGGATTTCTTTTTTGAAAAATTTTGTAAGATGTAGATGGCTGAATTACATACTATCAACCTAAAAAAGGCATTAAATTCTTAACTGAACCAATCACTCTCTCTCTCTCACAATAACTTCTCGTAAATTGAAACGAACTTTATCTATATATAAAGATATTACACAGATATTTTCCCCCATATTTTTGATGTACTTGTATTGATCACAACTTATCATACATCCAGTTATTAGTTATGTGTCTTGACCATTTAAATGAAACATAGATATTAAAATTCAAGCATTTTTTTTACAATGATGTTAGTTGTACCTGTTTACGTAAGAAAACATTGAATCCATGTTTTCGAAAAAATACTTTCCCATGATAGTAGCCTCTTCACAGTTTGTGATAGACAGATCACACAAACCGGCCCCAGGAACACTCGTTATGGTAGGAGGTGCGAATAAATCAAAGGAACAGTCGCTCCCTCCAAATCCAGTGTCACAGGTGCAGTTACCTGAGAAAGAATTGAAAGTCAAATTTACTTTTAACGTTTTTTATGAAAGCCAATTATTAAATTAAAGAATTTTTCTTATGATTTTTCGCATTCATTAATTCAAAAATATATGTAAAAAAGCATATATTTAAAATAGTTTGGTTGCCCTCTCCGAACAGACTGGACAAAAACTAAACCTTTAAAAAACTTTTTATTTATGCATTCCAGAGAGCATTTTCTTCTTTAAAATACATTTTTGTTTCTGAGAACTGTACGTTTTCGAAACTTAATGCTTTCATAAAATTTAACAAAATTTACACGGTCTTGCAAACATTTTCCAATTTTTGTGCCACGTTGTCTCTTTAATGTTGAAAATTCTGGGATAAATATTTTTCCAATTTTATATCATCTGTTGGAGTGATTGTATCCTGTTAGACGTCCCTCTCCAGGGGCCCGTTTCATCAAAGGTCGTACGCCCAGCCGTAGAGCTACGCCGGTGTAAAGTCAGGACTAGCACGAAGAGTTGCGTTTCATTAAAGAGCGTATCGTTACACCTGACTAAATTTAGGCCAAAATTCTACGTCTTCTCATGGGTAGGCGTAAATTCGGGCGTAAAGTTTAAATTAAGTAATTTAACTAATTTTAAAACAAATAAGCGAATTCTTAAGAAAAAGAACGGCTCTTAAAAGTCTTTTAAATCCAAACATTGTATTATTTAATTATACATACTATGAAGAGGCGGGGGGGGGGGGGGGTTACAACCACTTGGGGGCGTAGTTGATTGGAGTAATAACATACTAAATTAAATCTTCTCAGAAGAAAATTAAAGATTGTCTCAATAGAAATTTCTTCAACCACCATTTCTTACGTTTACACAAAGCATTCACACACATTTGATTATTGTATTGTATGTATAAGGTATTGTAAATCGATTATATAACTATATATATTTATATCCCCGCCTTAAAAGCGGGAGGGTATATAGTAATCGGGATGTCCGTCCGTCTGTTACGCGTTGGGATGCCATTGTGTCTTATTTTACTTTTTGGTCCGATTTCATATTTTGGGTTTACCATAGCAAAACATGGACACTGCCATTATATTCATATGGGAGGCGGGAGATCCATTAAAATCGTCTCTTTAGAAGAAAAAAAAATCGCAAAAATATATTTTTTGAAAAAAAAAATCGGTTTTAAAAACACAGTCATCCTCTTTCTAGTTATGTTCTACATCTAACTTAAAGAAAAAATAAACCTTAAAACCAGGTAGGTTCGAAGAGTCTATTTTTATCTACTCGTCCACAAGCGTAGTTTTTGAAAGGATCGGAGAGAGGGTTCAGAACCTCCCGAATTTGCAGATTTATCAACATTTAATATGTTAATATTTCAGTTAGGGGCGAAGGTAATTATTCCTCTAGGTAAATGTGTATCTAAGACAAGTGAAGTCCCTGAGAATCAAAGACGAAACCCACCGATAAGGGTTTCATAGACAATAAGAAATATTTAAATTGGGAAAATATTATTACTTTTATTATATCGAATTAAGACGACCATAATTACACAGTTAAGTTCAAGAAATGATTTATACCTCAATTTTTTTTCTCAGACAAACATTGATGCAGAAGACATTTTTATTTTTCATGATTTCGTCTAAAAGAGTAAATTTTACATACTATAAGAAAATCTGAGTGAATATAAAGCACATGTAAGAGAACAATATACATGTTTTTTATTTCCTGCATAGCTTACTTAAGTGTAACTTAATTTCTAAGAGAGAGGCCACGCAAGCAGAGACTTTCTGTAAGAATATCTTTGTAGTCATTCTCTCTCTATTCTCTCTCTCTCTGCATACTTGTAAAACGGTTCAGTAAATTTAAGCTGCAGATAGTTAAAAATTTTTGTCTATTACTGACTGTACTAAGTCTAGTATTTCGAAATTAATTCATGAACCTTTGCGCCATTTTAATAGTCAATAAAAAATTATGATGAATCATTTGACAAAAAATTAATAGACTTAGAAAGGACTGTCTTACATGTACCTTAGAAGTAAACGTGTAAAATTAATTTCTTGACTCAAAATGTGTACATATGTTAACTGCATTTTTTATAAATTATTTTTGCTTTCAATTCAGTATACATATCTAATGAAAATAATGTTTTAAAATCGTATTCTTTCTCAAACTTATTAGTATTTTATCAGTAGAGTCAGTAATTATGAATATAAATGATTATCAAAGGCGCGAAGTCATTATCCTGTATCAATTTCGGGAAGAGGGGGGAGGGGTGCTGTATATAATTAAAATTCCAAAATAAACAGTTTAGCTTTTAATAAAATTCTGATATACATGTACGATCCTTTTCTAACTTTCAATTTATAAGACTTGTCATTGAAATATTGTAAAAACCTTAAATCGATTTCTTATAAGGTACATGTGTCCTACATGACCCTATAAATCAATGCATGTTTCAATCAGTGCAAGTATTTATTATTCTGTAATTTATGTTATTCTATTCTTTTACGGGCTAAAATTATATACATGTTTGTATGCAGTGGACAATGTTTATATTTTTTGCGCCTGCGCAATGCAACGTTGTCAAGGACTTAGTCCTGCGACTAAGCGTATCGTTTACGACTAGACTTACGCCACTTGGTGAAACGCAAATTACGCCTGACTAAATTTTGGCGTAAGTCCCGGAAGTACACCTAAGTTAAGGCTTAAATCTACGACCTTTGATGAAACGGGCTCCAGAATATTTCACAGATATGGAGACGTCACCATTGCTGGTGAAGGGCTGCAAATTTAGGCCTATGCTCGGCACTTACGGCCTTTTAGCAGGGAGGGATCTTTAACGTGCCACACCTGCTGTGACACGGGGTCTCACTTTATACGGTCTCATCCGAAGGACCGCCCCATTTAGTCGCCTTTTACGACAAGCAGGGGTACTGAGGACCTGCTGAACCCGGATCCCCACGGGGATCATTTTGGAAAATGGCGAACAAACCTTATTTTGAAGTTATTGAACTGAGTTGTTTAACTAATATTTTTTTTGTTTTGTATAAGTTGCATTTATAATGTATGACTTTTGGGAAGTTATGGCAAACTGTTAATTGGGGTACAAATAAATGAAAGAAATATAAGCTGACAACTGTGTTTGTCATCTCCAGCAAAATGGTAGCAATCAAAGAGAGACATGTCTGATATTAGTTATATAATGAATATTTATTTTTGTTTGGATGGCAGAGGGATTGACACTACCATCAATAATCTCAATGTGTGTACCTTTTAAAATTCAAAAGAGCCTTGGGTTTACATGTATGCACTGCTCAAATATATTTATACTTTAGGGATTTCAAGTCTGAAACAATTACTGTCCGTTATCGTAACCTTTCCCATTGAG